TTTTTTAAAATTACTTTTCTTGGTGGGGGTGTCTTAATTATATCAAATAAATTGAATCTAATAATTCAATTTTCTACTGGTTTCTTTACTTTTATATTTTGAATGGAATATATTTTGATATTTCAAAGACATGTCTTGTTAAGTGTTCAATACCTTAATCAATTTTCACAATGTAGATGATATTGATCTTTCAAAAGAATCTATCAGACTAATAATGAGGAAAACAATTCAGAGACTATTTTATTCTGGCTGCAGAGAAATTGAAAAATCTAGAGTAAATCTCTTCATAAGATAATAAAACATTTAATATTTCTGTAAAATAACTTTCATAGGTTAAAGGTGACAGTGACCCTGAATTCATAAAATCAACCAATTGTTGGACAGTTTCTACTTCCATATCCTGTGTAATGCTCTCTCCCTTCCAGATGAGCTGAGCAACATTTGGGGGAGTATATATTATTACCAATCTATCACTGTTCATGGTTATTTCAAGGGCAAGTGATCAATGTATATGGATTTATCCTTGCAAGAGAGGTGTAATGTAATTATGAAGCTACTAAGAGTACCTGGTAAATGTATTGGTTGATTAGAAAGGTTTTAGGAAGTTAAGAGAAAGGAGGACTGCCTCCAATGCCACAATAGAAGGGAGAAATCACAAAGTTGCTCACATGAGACTAAAACTCCTCTGACCTGCCACTTATTTAGCTATGATTGTTTACTTTTTCTAATACAACACACATATTTTCATCCAGTTAAAGTAAACCAAACACAGGAATAGAAAAAAAAATCTACAGTTCTTATCCTGAATGACAATTGTGTGTTTCTGTATAATTTATTTGCTTGGAGGTGGTGTTTAATAAATGTTGGCTTGATTCAAACAAACTTCCTTATGATCAGATTTGAACACACTTAGTACATAAAAATAATATTCAGTATAATAAAATCCATTTGTTGCACAGAATACTGCTGTAGAAACTGAGTTCACTGGAGGACTTAATTTGTCCACCAAATACAGCTGTGTCAAGTAAAATCTGAAAACAACAGGGATTGCCCTGTCATGTCTGGGCCATGTCTTTCCCTGTCCTCTGTAGCTACATGCATTTGCTCTCTGAATCACATTAGCCACAAGCAGACACAGAAGAACTAGAACGCATGCTCTCAAAAAAAAAAAAAAAAACCTGCTTTGATTTATAAGAGAACTTAAGATGCATTTTCTGCAATTTGGGTCAAACCCCTCACTCAAACATGAAGCATTCTGTCTTACAGCATCTAGGGTACCACTTACATTATTGTTTTGCAAGACCCGCAGTGCCTTGTTGACATTGTTCAGGGCATGAACTCTTGTGGATCCTTTTTCTTTTGGCTGAAAACAAAATGAAATAGTGTTCACTGACTAGCACAGAGATCAACAATCTACTAACGATGAAACAATTTATAAATTTCATTTTAAGTTCGAATATTTTAAATGAGCACAGGCTATGCTGCATTGATATAACAAATCTAAGTGCTTTAGGCTAATTGTTCTTGACCTGATACTTTTTTAGCAGAAACCAACCACTCCCCAAGGATGATAGCACTCTTTTTTTTTCACAAAGGCTATTTTGGTATGATCCTTCCTTCATTCTATAGCCCAGTTGGGGATGATTGCATGGCCACCAATGAGAGAAATATCAGCATGCATAAAAACATTTGCTAGTAAGATAGATAAGCAAATTAATTTCAAAACTTTGTAGGAAAATTTAGAGTAGATTTGAGTATAGCACAATTATGTAATGCCAAATAAGGTTAAATGAAACTATTTCTGTGAATATTATCTTAATTGCCCTAGTCACTGAAGCTCAAAACCTCAATCATCTTTGCTTTCCTAACCCACACTCTCAATCCCAAAAGTCATATCTTTTCCTGTAATGTTTAAAGTAACATCTGCATAGGTCACTACAACATACAAATTATCTCATTTATTCAGTTGTAGAGTTTTAGAAATTCCCACTGCTGTGATGCCTATTGTATTTACTCTTTCCTTCTATTTTCGTTTCTTTTACCTTAATACAAACCCTCATAAGCTATTGCCCAGAAAACATCATAACTTCCTTTTCTTCTCTTCTCACTTTCTGTTTCTCCTTTTATTCATCCTGCATATCTCCAATGATTACATTCCTGAAGTAAGCCCACTGCCAATGCTAACCACTTACAAAGTTCCCTTCTCAACCTTAGGGTGACTATAGTTAATAGTTAAGGGCATGAGCTACAAAGCTGCACTCCCTGGGTTCAACTTTCAGTTCTGCCACTTTTGTGCTATGTGACTTTGGGCAAATTTCTTAAACTCCCTGTACTCCAGTTTTCTCATCTGTTAAAATGGATTTAATAAAAATAACTACTTCATATTTTTGCTGAAAGAATTCAATGTGTTAATGTGTATAAAACTTTTAGATTGTCACAAAATAAGTACAATGTAAATGTTTGCTATTATTATTAACCTTGTAGTCTATGCCAGGTACTTTGAGTGCACTACTTCTAATCACCTTTACAAGGCAAATAGTTTCATCCTCATTGTATAGAAAGTGAACCTCATGATAAGAGCTAATATATAGATAGGGATACAACTAATAACTGATAGAGCCAGGATGCAAACTTTGGTCTGTGCCTGTAGAGTCAAAGACTTTCAAAATTTATTTTCTTTCTTATTTCTCTAACTACCTTCTGTATGCACCAACGAAATAATCTGATTTTTTACTTCTTGAGTTTTGCTTCCATACTTTCCAGCATTGCTCCTGTCCTTCTCATGCAGTTCCTTACCCTAAAACATCTTACCACTTTCACTGCCTGCTGAACATCCCAAATTAAGCTAAAACACCCTACTATCAAAGGTGATTTGCCCGATCCTTCTTATATAACAGTGTTGGTGTCTTGTTTTTCAACTTCTCACCATTTTAAGGATAACTTTATGAACAGGAATCTGTATTTTTTACCTATTGGAAAATTTTCTTACAAAAATGTCAAAATGATACAGGTTTACATTTTGGTATTTTTCCCACTTCCCACCACAAAGAGGAAGGAAATAAGGCCATAGAAAGATAAGACTTTAGATCAAAAGAAAAGCAGCAAAAAAACCAATCTTTATGTGTGTGTGTGTGTGTGTGTGTGTGTGTGTGTGTATTTATAGTCTCATAGCATACAAGTCTAATGGTAATTTTGGAAGTTTAAAGTTTTTAAAATAATTACCCATATCAATCCTCTGCTTAGTATTTACACAAAAGCTATATATCACCCTTTAGCTGGCTGCAGAAGAATTGCAGTGATAAGATTTAGTAGCATGTTCCTTTGCTTCAAACTAAAAATTCAAACATTAAATGTACACATCTATATACACATGTGCATATTTATCAGAACCAAACAAATTCTATTCTTAAAATAAGCTGAAGTTTCTGATCCTAAAGTGAAAATTTAAATCTGCCCCTATTAGAGTCTCTTTGGGGAATAATTCTAATTTTATGGTTCTAAGGCAAGTACTTTCCTTTTAACCCTAGGGATGTGCTTAGCCAATAATCCAAATGCAGATGCTTTCAAGTAGAATACTAAGATTTCTGTTCAATAGCATACATGACTCCCATTAGGGGTAGAAGATATATCTCTGCAGAAACTATTAGGATTCAAGAACAGGTACAGAGAATTAAAGATCTGAAATTGGGAGCATATGTGAGAGAGGTGAGTCTACTCTGTGGGAAAGGTAAAGTCCTCAGACCAGGGCTGACAGATTTGTGACTAGGATGAATAATGGATTACAGATTCTGTTAGCAGTGGTATCTGAAATTAAATAGTACATATTGGCATGTATAAATATTTGGTGATTTTCCCCTGCTACTCAATTACTCCACACGGGCCAATTTCATGGATGTTTGGTTCACAATTTTTTCTTCAGTTCCTGTTACCTATTAGGCTCATTTTATCTTTTCATCTATGTATGGATATATCTCAGTGAAAACCTCAAGTTCTTTATTTTCAAAATTTTTTAAACATTGTGCCTATATTAAATTTTTTAATTCTGACAAAATTATTTTGGGCGATGGAAGAGTTGCCTCAGTCAATGAAGTGACCAGAGAGAGTTGCAGCACCACAGAGAACTAGTTACAGAGGTACCTAGAGGTAAAGAGACAAAAAAGCCTTGTGCAGAGGGGCCAGGACAGGTTGGAGAACCCATGATCTCAGAAAGAAGTTTCACAAACACTTGGAAGACACTGGGGCTACCTTATTTGGGAACTGACCCAGAAATTGGGGACACACAGACATACACTGATTTCTGTATCTATCTGTGTACATATAGACATACATATATACATACATATTATACATACATATATAAATTGTTCACAGTCATAGGATATGGATGATTATTCACAAAAATATCTCTAACCAGTGAAATTAAGCCTAAGTGTACAGAATGCCCTCAAATTGGCTAAAAACAAAAAGTTCATCTGTAAGGCAAATCTGAATTTTTTTCACCTGACTAAATTGATTATTTCAATATATCATTAAGTTCTTTTTATATCAATACAATTCAGACTTTTTGAAAATATTTAAATTTTAGTTTAATTTAATAATATATTAATCTCATATAGTATAGTTCATATAGTATAATCTCATATAGTATATTTCAACTATAGTATAGTTGAAGATGATTAAAAAATGAAAGCATAAGGTATATCTCTTCCCTGTAGGACTCAGAATTTAATTGAAGAGAGTGTCATAGTCACATAAATATATACCAAAAATAATAAAACAATAGTTAAAGAGAAAAATAGGCATTCTATGGGATTTAAAAAGAGGGAGAATTAACAAAGAAAATTTGAGAAAGGCTTTACTGACAAGGAGAAATCAAGGTTTCTGAAGGACTGTTAGGACAGACAGAAGTATAGAAAGCAATAAAGGCTATTAAAACAGCATAGGCAAAACCCCAAACATATCTGAGAGTATATACAGAGACCAACCTGTCTTAGCGTAAGGCAAGTTAGGAGAATAGAAAATTTGGTATCTTTGACTTTAAATAACAGCTAGAGTTTGTATATTATCAACAAAATCTTTGTGTCTGGGGGTGTGTGTGTGTGTGTGTATTTGCATGGATGTGTGTGCATGCATTGGAGAGTTGTAGTGAAGGGTAAAGGGAAGGGATTAAGGCAATAATTTAGCAGGACTAATTTGATATGCAGAATGGCTATGACTGTAGATCGGGGGCTTAAACTCTACTTATTAGAATAATAGCAATCTAAGAATAAGATTATTTCAGTCAGGAGATTTGAATTCTAGAGCTTTTTTCCCCCATTGTGAGACCCTAATCAACATGATTTTATTGATCTCTAGCTGTGTATAACAATATCTATCTTGCAGGAATTCTCTGAAGTTAGACTGGATAATAGTTCTCAAAGGGAAGTTACATTCTCATCACATATGCATCGCGTATTGGACTAAAATGCCTATACTTTATTATCCTGCCCCACATTGTTTCTTTATTTATAAACTAATACAGATTCATTGCAAAATAATTGCAAAATACATAAAAGCACAAAGATAATTTCAAAAGTCATTGCATATAAAAGCCTTCATAAAGACATTCAATAAGAAAGATACCAAATAGTAAAATTGAATATCTATTAATTAACATAAATTATATTACTGAAAATGTTTATTTTGTTATTCTACATATGATAGACTATACCAAAATGAAAATAATAATGTGAGACTGTTTTACTTAGAAATAGGTCCTATAACATTTATCGGGCATCAGGCAGATGGGAGTGGGGAGGAGGGGATGAGTATATACAAACATAATGAATGCGATGCGCACCATCTGGGGGATGGGCACGCTTGAAGCTCTGACTTGGGGGGGGCAAGGACAATGTAACCTAAACATTTGTACCCCCATAATATGCAGAAAAAAATAAACAGATTATTTTTTATTGGAAAAAAAAGAAATAGGTCCTATAATACTAGTTAAATCAATAATCAGTAAATTACTATATTTTACGAGATTTCATAAAATGATAGTGTTTTTTTCTGGTGTACAATTCTAATAAGATTAATGTTAACTTTCATAAAAATAAGTCACGTACCAGTTTTTGTCCTGTCAGGCCTTCAAGGAGGTCTAGGAGGCGTCTCCCATCCTGCAGGTCACTGAAGAGGTTCTCTATATGCTGCTTCCCATACTGAAATACAAAATATATTCAATTTAACAAATCACACTTCAGTTGTTTGATTTCTAGGATTATGCCTTTTGAAAATTAAAGCTATATATAAGGATACTTAATGTATATAATTTTTAATATGTCAAGAGTGATGGATTAAAAAAGATAGTTCTAGTTAAAAAACAAAACAAAGGAAAATTTGATCATTAGGTCAAATCTATTTGAAATGTTTTTTGAATAGCAAGAATTGGAGATCCATGGCCTAATTGATTTATAATAATTAAACCAAATTATGAATGCTGATTCTATGAATGAAAGAAAAAAATATTTAAACTATCAGGCAGTTTGAGGTGGAAGGAGAAGTAAACACACAAAGAAACAAAGATCGCATACAATTTTCCCTGGGTGGGCACATAGAATTTAACTGTTCTGTGTACTTGGAAGTATAATATACAATTACAGAGTGTTCAACATACGCATTGTACAGAACATGCTTTCTCTGCATACACATTTTGAACACTGATTCAGAATGACCTATTCTCATATTGAATAAGTCAAATTTAAGGAATACCTGGTTTAAATAGAGTTGAAATAAGCCTCTGAAAATGTTTTCTCTATTTTTCTAAGTTCCTTGCTCAGGGAATATAATAAGGAAAAATAATAGTCACCAATAATATCTAACATTTTTAGAGTAACTGTTCTCAAGAGACACTCCACTAAACAAGTGGATGTTATCACTTTTGCAACATTTATGTAAGGTTAGCATTAATATACTGATCTTGTAGATGAGACACTGAAAAGTTAATATGTAATCCTTTGTCACAAAACTAGAAGGGGGTAAAGCCAAGATTTTGGCTCATATCTGTCTAACTCTTGGGGCCCCTGTTATTTCTATATTATTATGCTGCCAGCCTGGCCTTTTTATTCTTTTATTTGATTATCTTTCAAATATTTTTCTTTATTCTGTCATATGCTCCCAAATCTTTTCTTTTTCTTGTTAAAAGCCTACAATCTCTTCGTATGAGACCATTCTCAGCTCTTTCATCACTCAAGTTATCTAGAAAGCTCCAATTTATCAGTCACTGATTTATATTTAGCATGAATAAACCTGAGCTAGGAATTGGAGCATTCACCAGTAAATCAGACAGACATAGGCCCAGCTCCTGTGGAATTTAGGGTCCAGCAGGAAAAACAAATATTCCTAAAATAGAATACAACATAGAAGCGGTAAGAGGGACTAATGAGCATATAACCATGGGAACTCCCTATAGTCTTGGGATCAGGAAATATTTTCCCCAAAATGTCAGATGATGAGTTTAACATTAGCCTTTTGGTAATTGGACTCTTTTTTCTACTCCTTGGATCACACACAAACTTTGAATCTCACACATGTCAAGAAAATCAAGAAAATCTCTGGATATGCGGAGGAAAATGGCAGATTAGTGGTGACCTCCTGGCCCTCTGCTCCCAGAGCAGGAGGTGAAGAACGCGGATAGCTACACACGAGTGGATCACTCTCCCATAGGATCAGCATCGTGAATTATGCAGAGAAGCAGCGCGGGACAAGCAGCGCTTGAAAAAAAAAAGGTGAATTGGAGAACCAACCGCAAAGCTTGGAGAGTGTGAGATATACAATAGGGAATAGAGCGTGGGACAGCCAGGCCTGTAGGCCGGCCAGGGCAGTGTGATCTGACCCACAGGAGGACGACTCTTCCTCCACTGACCTCCACATCCACTCAGGCAGGGAAGCGCCTGAAATCAGTGTGAAGTTGTGGCACAGGATGACAGGCAATGTGGAGAAGAGATAATAGCGGGAAATATTTTGAACTCTCCAGTGCTCTGTGCTAGGTCCGCACTGAGTAGGGGAAGCACTGGACTGAGTGGACACTTCCTGGGTCCAGAGGAGGGAGTTTGGAGACAGGCACCTCTCTCCTGGCAGTCACTGGGACCAGAACAAAGGATGTGAATACCGAAAAGGAGGCTCTGCCCTTGGAAACCGTGGAAGATTAGGCTGGCACAGTGTGGGACAGACAGTGCAGGACTCCCCTACTGGACTGACGTGAATCAGTGCAGCAGGGAAACAGTGGAGACAGCGGGCAGCTAGTTGAGACAGCCTGCCAAACCCAGCACCCACTCTGCCCCCCGCCAGCAGTCGTCTCCAGTGCTGACTCTCTGTGGGTGGGGCTGCAATTTTGGGGGTCCACAGCCTAGAAACGCTGTGGCACCTTGGGGATCTGGGCACCAACCCTTCTCCAGCCCAGCAGGGCAAGCCCAGGCAACAGTCTCAGGCAATGCCCCTCCCCCAGCCCAGCAGGGCAGACTCCTCCCTTGGAGGCAGGGATGAAGAACAGTCTCTCTGTGCGACTGATATAAATCTGTGGGACCCTGGAACTAAGCAAAAGTGGGCAGACTGTTGATTCGGTCGAGCGGGTTGATTTTGATCATCTGATAAGAATATAACCCTAGGGCTTGCCCTTGATGCTCAGGCCACTGCCAGCTTTGGGGCTTGTGGTCTGGAGAGGAAAATCCTGGCCAGAATCCTTAACAATTGCACGAATTGACACCCTCCACCTGGAGCTGTCTCACAAGGATGACGAAAGAGCCCTGAATAACATATTAGCAGCTCTCCTCTAGCAGCAGATTAAGCAACCACAGAAGTATACGATCTCGGGCTCATAAGTACCTACTGCCCTTACTCCACCCAAAGTGGCAACAGGGCTCAAGTAAACCTTGGGAGTGACAAGACATTTCCCAAAGATCGGGGCACTTGTACACCCCATTCAGGGGTTTAGAGCCCAACACAAAGGCATTGGAATACCTTGATAATCAACTCCTATATGCAAACTACAAGCAAAAAAAGAGAGGGTAACTCCATAGCCCAACACAGTGCTTTCCATCTCAAACTACTGGAGGGCTGTGGAGTCACACACATAAGAGTTATTCACCACCTGGGAGATTAAGCAAGGGGTCCAAACTCACTAATCTCCTTTTGCAAGAGGTGAAGACAACAGGTCAGAGATAACCCAACAGGCTAAAACACCTCTAAGGTAATACAGGACCAGAGTGCATCTCCCCAGCACTGTCAAGGAATGTCCCTTTGGGGACTTGGAGATAAGGCCATAAACCAGCCCCAGCACTCCCAGTTCTTGACAAAGTAGCCTGATGAGAAAGAATCAGCAAAAGAACACAGGAAACATGAAAAATCAGAGAGAAAAGTCACCCCCAAAAGAAAGTCCATCAGTAGATACCAACTTACATGATATGATTAAACTGACAGAGGAAGAAGTCCGAATATGGATTGTAAGAAAACTGAATGGAATTGCAGAGAAAATAGAAACCCAACATAAAGAAGCCACAAGAATAATACAAGAAATGAATGAAAAATTCTCTAAAGAAATGGAAATACTATGGAAAAACCAAACAGAAATCTTGGAAATGAAGGAGGAATTCAAGGAACTTCAAAACGCAGTGGAAAGCCTCAAGAACAGAAGAAAGAATCTCAGAACTTGAAGATAAAGCCTTCAACAAATAGGATGAAAAAAAAAGAACACAGAAACAAGAGACAAGAACAAAACATACAAGAAATGTGGGATTACGTAAAGAAGCCAAATATAAGAATCATAGGCATCCCAGAGAGAGGAGAAGAAAATACACAAGGGCTGGAAAACTTATTTCATGGAATACTGGAGGAAAATATCCCTGGCCTGGGCAGAAATCTAGATATTCTATAAAAAAGACATCTGCACTCGAATGTTTATGGCAGCACAATTCACTATTGCAAGGATGTGGAAACAACCCAAGTGCCTGTCAATCCATGAGTGGATTAATAAAATATGGTATTTGTATACAATGGAATACTACTCAATTACAAAAAAATGATGGTGATCTAGCACCTCTTATATTTTCCTGGATGGAGTTTGAGCCCATCCTCCAAAGTGAGGTATCACAAGAATGGAAGAATTAGCACCACATGTACTTGCCACCAAATTGGCACTGACTGATCAACACTAAGGTGCTCACATGGTAGTAATATTCTTTGGGGGATGGGGTCTTGGGGGTGGGCAAACTCACTACTAATGGACTCAGTGAGCATTATAGTGGGGAAGGGCATGCCTCAAATCATGGTTTGGGTGTGGCAAAGTAATAAGATGTAACCAAAATGTTTGTACCCCCATAATATCTTGAAATTAAAAAAAAAAAAAAGAAAATCTCTGGTTTCCAGGCAAAAGACATCCCTGAAACTTCCAAGATTAAAAACACAGGATTCAGATTGTTCCTTCAGCTGATAGCTGTGTCAATGACAAGTCCTGTCAATGTCTGGGTGCTTGACATAAAGAGAACACTGACTGTGGCAGGCAGTCCACCAGTCCACCTGTATGCCCAGCTTTGGGAATCCAGCAACATATATGCTCTGACAAAGTTAACTGGAAGTTATTCTTTTGAAATTCTACCCAAATAGTTCTGTTTTAAAATTCCGGGGAAAAAAGAATACAACATAAAACACTTACATGTTGGAATTTTTTACTCATTATATGCTAGTAAATCTTAAAACAACAGTGCTATTTTTATGAAACTTTAAGGAAAGTTTTTTACTAGTAAGAAAATGAATGTATACTTTCCAATAACACTGTCTAGAACCTCTTATCTAACCTGGATTACCTTGGCATTTTGAGAGTAATAGTAAGCTTTTAAAAAAAATTGAAATTAAATGAAGGTATACAATGCCTTTTAAATGTTGTTTTTCTTTTCCTCAAGAGCAAAATTTTACAGATGTATATGAGAAAAATATGGCTTCTAAGCTTATCAAAAAGAAATCTTTCACACTGCAACATGTCAATTTTTGAAGAAATTAAAGTATATTTAGCTGACAGATACTTGTTCTTATAAAAATATATATCTATATTGATAAAAAGATAGGTAGATAGATAGATAAAGTCTGTCAAACCAGGAAGGATGTGGGCAGCAAAAAGTTGTTCATTGAAAAAGTGGAACAGAGACTTGGAAAGGTGAGGCATGTCTTG